TCAAAGTGGCTTTAAAAAGGGGCGTTTTAATGTGAAAAATTCGGTGCATCTCTATTTTGTAAAACCAAATACCATTACGAACGGTTACCCTAGGACCTACATTCAGTACACATTATGTAGTTGTACTTAGTAGGCCTATACTATATAATTAGTTAATGTAGCAAAATGTGATTACCTCTATTTTCCAACAAATTAATAAATAGTGAAAACCTTCCGAGCTGACCCAACCAAGTCTGCCCCTTAGTCTTAGCCCTGGATTAGAACTTAGAAGCCTTTATGCCTTTATACTTATAATTATAAGTAACTTAGACTACGTAGACTAAGCTGGACTTAGGTTAATAATCACCTGATGTTGTTGTTTGTCAGTCTGGAGTCGATAATAAACATGACCACTTTATTTTTTTTCATCAAATTTGTGCTAGTTCTGTCTGTAGGTGCGCAGATGGCTAATCTAATGAGGCCGATTCTGGCACGAAATTTATCTTGTGCAGTAGGTGCTGGGGAATGATGGGGCATCTCCAGGAGCAGAGTCAGACTGGGCCTTCAGTAGCATGTCTCTTGCGCTCTGCAGCCGCTATTTGCCAATTTCATGTTGCATGGAGCTCCTGTGTAAAGTGGAAAGCCATGATGTTCGGATCCTTTGCTTTTTCCTCCCACATGTCTGGGTTTATGTCTAACACTTTCAGTGAGGCTTTTAGGTTGTCTTTAAAACGTTTCTTCTGTCAACCAGCAGACCGCTTTCCATGTTCGAGCTCACCATAGACAATTCTTTTGGGAAGATGGTTGTGTAACAATTGCACAACATGTCCAGTCCCGCGAAGCTGGGACTTCATTAAGATGGTAAGGATGATGGGGAGACCTGCCTGTGTGAGCACCTCAGTGTCTGGGACTCTGTCCTGCCATTTAATGTTTAGGATTTTTCTGAGTCTTGTATGAAAGTGGTTCAGCATTCTTGCATGGCGTTGGTATACAGTCCATGTTTCACAGGCATAGAGAAGCGTAGGGAGAACAGCCGCTTGATATACTTTCAGTTTAGTTTGAGTGCTGATACCTCTTCTGGTCCATACGTTTTTAGTCAATTTTCTATAGGTTGCACTGGCTCTCGCAATACGGAGGTTAACCTCGTCATTGATGGTTGCGCTTTGGGACAGTGTGCCGCCGAGATAAGAAAAACTATTCACCACCTTAAGTCTTTCACTATATACTTGGATGCTGGGCTCAACTTAAGGTCTTCAAGGAGCTGGTTGGTATAGGATCTCAGCCTTTTTTGTGTTAACGGTAACCCCGAAGTTTGTGCAAGCATTAGAAAAGTTTGTGACGCAGCATTCCATATCCACTTCTGATACAGCATTTAGGGCACAGTCGTCTGCATACAGGAGGTCCCAGATGGTGTCTGTCAGGACCTTCGTTTTGGCATGTAGCCTCATGGTGTTGAATAGTTAACTGTCAGTTGGGTATCTGAGGCCTAATGACTAATGCTCAGTTCACAGTTTCAAATTTCTTTTTGGCTTTTTTTCCTTCTTTTTTGAAGAAAATATTAAGCAGATTTGACGAAAATTTGATCATGTGAACTGAGCATTTAGGGCCTTAAATGGCTTAAGCTGCCTTTAGATTTTAAGTTGAATTAAGCTCTAGTAGCCATATTAATATTATTTACTAACAAATCTCTAAAGTTTAAGTCTAATAATAAAGCCTTTAACTCAGTCTAGGAAGGGTCTACCAAACCCAAGTCTTAAGACCTTTAATTTTTAAGTAGTTGGAGAACTATATAGGATTAGGATTTATTTTTACAAGAAAAGCTAAAGGTAAATTAACTAGTATCCAATCCATCCCTATGGCGCTACAGCTCATGTAGAGCTTTGGCCTGCCTCACCACTTTCTTCCACTCAGACCTAACAAATGACTTTCTTTTCCAAGCTTGGACTTTCAGCTGTTGTAGATCTTTTTCCACATGATCCATTCATCTAAGCCTAGGTCTGCCTTTGAGCCTTTTTTCCTCTGAGGTATTGGTGATGCACCCTCTTCGTTCCTCTGTCATTTGGCATTCTCTCTAAGTGTCCTGCCCAGCCTAGCCTGCCTCTTTTTATTTCTGCTACTATCGTGGGATCCTGATATAGACTGTACAATTCCTGGTTAGTTCGTATTCTCAATCCATATTCATCCCTTGTTGGTCCATATATTTTCCTGAGTACTTTCCTCTCCCATATGTTGAATAGGTTTTCTGCTGTTTTTGTTAGGGTCCATGTTTCACTTGCATATGTTAAAACTGGTCTGATTACAGTTTTATAAATAGTTTTCTTTGTTTCTCTTTTAATGTTTTTGCTTTTGAGTATTTTCTGACTACTGAAATATGCCCTTTTTCCAGCTGATATTCTTTCTTTTATTTCTGTTAGTAATTCGTTTCTTTCATTTAAAAAAGATCCTAGGTATTTGAATTGATTTACTTTTTCAAAAGTCTGGTTTCTAATTTTAATTGCTTCATCTGTTTGTTCTTCTCTTATCATGGTCATGTATTGTGTTTTTTGGTTGTTAACTTCCAGCTCTGCTTGTAGTGATGCGTATTCTAATTCATTAAAGGATTTTGGTATGTCTTTAATATTTTTCCCTAGCAGTGCTATGTCATCAGTATATGCAAGATACTGAAGTGGTTGGTTGTAGAGTGGGCCCATTGGTTGTGGGTCTTGAGTTTCCCTCAGAAAGTATCCTGTTATCGTTCCTTGAGTGTCATGTTTCTCATAACTCTCTTTAATGTTAGGTTAAAAAGCATACAAGATAGTGACCCTCCCTGTCTTAGGCCTTGTCTAATCTGAAATTCCCTTGAATATTCTCCTTGAATCTTGATTTTGCTTTTTGAGGTGTATAGTGTTACATGTATTAGTCTTGTCAGTTTGTTGGGTATCCCAAACTCCTGCAGTGTCTCATATAGATATTTTCTTTTGATGCTGTCCTAGGCCATATTATAGTCCACATAGAGTTGATGTACTGGTAAATTTTATTCATAGCTTTTCTCTAATAGGCATCTGATGGTGAAAATCTGATCAGTTGTTAATCTGTTTGGCCTGAATCCACATTGGTAATCACCTAGTATTTCTTCAGTGTAAATGTTGTAAGCTTCGTCAGTATTTTGTATGTAACATTTAACTAGTATAGTTATAGTCTATCAATGAGTATCCATCATTATGGATAAGAAAGTGGTCATCCTCCTGCCCTTCGCCTTCTCAATAAAACTTGTATTAGGCTACTGGTACCAAAGAATGGTATTAATATTACTCACTAGTTTAGCTCGCCAAACATTGGCGACAGCAATGTGAACTTCTTATCTACTTAAAATTAAGTTACTTGACAAAACATGAACTCAAGTAATGCACATTTAAGAATCCCAATTTTCGCTACACCCCTTCCCCCCATGCACACTTTATATTTCACGCCCATTAACTATATTAATATTGTGATATCCAAACCACTTTTAAAACTGAACATTTATTACACCTTATTTAAATTGAGATGATTTATTTTCCGAAAAGAATATATTACGCACTAAATGCAGTTGCATTATTAAAAAAATAAACATTTAGTGTTGTTATCGGGAATTATATTTTGTGTGCTATCCGAAAATGGAAGCAGTCACACCAAAAGCAAAACATATTTAAGAGATTCATGATTCATGGCAATGCCAATCCACAATGCTGAAAGCTGCATTAAATGCACCTGAATAAACCAACACAATTCTCACATTGCATTGATACAAATTTTAATCATATTAAAAACATTTTCCTTGGATGTTTTATTATTTTATTTTTAGGCAAAACTTTTTATAAACAAAACTGAATTTAAAAGGCTGGGTGTAAGAAAAATGCTTTTTATTAAATTAAAGCTTAATTTAAAAATGAAATACATTTTTTTTGGTGTTTTTTTTAAACAGGTAGTCATTTAAAATGGCTTCTTCCTCTAATGATGAAAGAATTTTAGATTTTACCACTTTAGAATCTGCCCCCACACCGAAAGATGAATCCTACATTGCTGAGTCAAAATGTATCGATGTCATTTTAGATAGTAAAGTAAGCATATTATATATAATTTGGTCTGAAGTGTCATTTCCTCTCAGTCAAAAATATTTCATAAACCCAAGTATATTCAAGACATTACTACTTTTTATTTGCCTTTTATGTGCAATTTTCTCACAATAAAAATTGAAAACGGCGCTCAATTTGGCTAATTTGTGACAAAAATAGATGTTAATGGAACTGCCTTGTTTAAGATTCTAGAACTGATGCACATTTATGCTCATAAAATGAATAATTAAAGAGAAAAATTTCACTTATTTATTTACTAATTGAAAAGCTGTCTTGATCAAATCCATGGGTGACTTTTGTATAGATGTCTTCAAGAAACAGCCTTGCACTACGATGCAAACTTCACCCTTCCTTGGAAAAGTAATAAAAGACAGCTAATACTCTTTAGCACTTTATAAAAAAATGATGTCTCATGCTTCACTTCTTCTTCTTCTTTATTTTAAGGGCCCACGATCAATGAATTGATCATTCTGGCTCCTATGTTTCAGAGGGGTTTGCGATGTTACTGTCCATGGGTTTCAATGGGATACTTCACTGGTTGCAAGGGCGACTCAGCCGTGGTGTTATGAACTGGGGGTTGGAATACAGGAGGCAATAGACACAAATGTGTCTAGTGTAGCTGCCTCAACTGTTGCTTTTGGAAGCTTGTTCACTTGCTTGGATAGCAAAAATAAATGCTACTGGTACTTATAGTATAAATCATGATGAGAATCTTTCTGGTGAAATGTACTCATCAGACCATTGGGACATTTCTTTTTAGGGAGGATGTGAACCACGGGTTATAAATCCCAATCACTGAGGTCAGAAGACAGCAACCAAATTGATGTGGGATTAAAAAGTAGCTATCTATGCTGCCTCTAGCCATAAAACTATATAGATAGGTGTCCTTGAAAAGAATTTTAACAAAAATTGTTATATCTTTTTGAGACATTGAAGGTGTATGTGGAGGAAGTTTTCCCAAACAATGGCAGCAGAATTTTAGCTGACATTTTGTTTCTCCATGGAATGAGATTCACATCTAAAAACTGGCTGGACATCAAATCTCTGCACCATGTGGCAAACTGGGGATACAGAGGTGTTGCTGTTGACTTGCCAGGTACAGACCATTAGTGTACAGGGGTGTTGCTGTTGACTTGCCAGGTACAGGCCATTAGTGTACAGGGGTTTAGTTGACTTAAGTGCACTAGGGTGTTGCTCTTGACTTATGAGATATATGAAAATAAATACATCATTTTAATGTAGTTTTTAAATTCTGGTTACTTTTATACTTTTGTGGCTGGTTAAGCAAGCCTCATGAACTGATACAATAATTTGGGTTAAACCCCACAGCTAATTAAAAAAATATTTAATTTAACCTGCTTATTAGATATATGCTAATTACTACTAATTTGTTCTTTAAAAATGCACCTTTGTAAAAGGTTATGGGAAGAGCATAAACATACTAGAGCCAGAGAGCAATGCAAATTTCATGATGTCTTTGATTTCTACCCTTGGACTCCATCGCCCCATCATTGTTTCTCCATCGATGAGTGGAGGTTTCTCCCTACCCTTTATCTTTGATGATCCCACAACAAGCACTGAGAGATCTATGGCCTTTATACCAGTTGCTCCAGTTTCAACAAAAAAATTTATCAGCCAGTTTAAGAAGAGTGAGGTAGGTTGAATTCTGATGAGTAAAAAAAAAATATTTTTTCTTTTCCTGATTATTAAGCAGCTGTGTGCTTAACTTATGCAAATTTAGGGATTAGAAATTGATAATAAAAACATAACCTACAAATGATAGTAACAGCATAGTGTATTTTATTAATTCAGTAAAACAAAAACATTAGGTTATGATATTGAGTAATTTGATGTTTGTTGCAAACATATTATGATTGAAAAACCTTTAGTAAAATTTGCAAATTGTTTTGCATCGTAATGGCCCAAACAGAAGTTAATGTTTTGTGCAATCAACTCAGAAATGGTTTAAATTTTATATAATAGAAAATAATCTAAGTGCTATATTTTTTAATTGGTAAATGTTGACTAATGAATTTTTAACTCATATCTATATCTATTTTTGCACACCATATTTTCATATGGGCCAATTACACCAGTTGTGCACAAATCATACACTTGAATTAATAATGTCATTAATGGAGAGAGAGAGTGAGAGAGAAAGAGAGAGATTGAAATGTGAACTTGGTTTGTCTTTTGTTTAAATTAAATGCATTTTCAAATAATCTTACAGACTTGGAAATTGAAATATTTGTATAGTCTTTTGAGACTTTTGTGTCCAAATTTTATCAGACGAAATAATTGAAGAATTATATTTGAAAAATACAGAACCATATTAACCAAGATGTTTAAATCTCTAAGTCTAAGTGAATCACATATTTTCTGTTTTGATTAGATTCCAACACTAATCCTGGTGGGCACTAATGACACTGTCAATGGACAAGAGAGCACTAAGGATCTAAAGAACCTTAGAAACAACTGGTATGCACCAATAGAGGGAGCATCACATCCATGTTATTTGGACAATCCTGATGCTTTTCACAGGCTACTGTATCATTTTTTGAAGCAGTTAGAAGTTTAATATCCAATGTATAAACGCATTTATGCTCATAAATGACGTCATATCCAGACCTGTTTACTCTTACGATTTTGGCGTACAATGTACGATTTTGAAGGATTATAATATTTATAATTATATTATATTATAATATTTGAGGTATTTTGAGACATTATATATACTGTATGTTTATTTTTTTACTATTAAGATAATGTATTGAACGATTTTGTGATGATATTGTACGATTTGAAGAGTTTGAGGGTAAACAGGTCTGTCATAGAACTTAAAATCTAATCTTTACGTTGATATAAGGGCTGACCTATCCTGGCACATAGTGGCGGCTAACCCCCTCACCTACCTGCACTTCTCACAATACTGATCTATGGGCATAATATCGTAAAGCTTTTAAAAAATTTTGCAGAAAGGAAATACTTTATAAAAACGCTATTATTATTCCTTTTTAAAAAAAGAGAATAAAGGCTTTGCTTCTGTGAATTAGTAAAATACTAAGGGTCATCTATACTTTATGCGGTATTCACTTAACTTGCAAATTTATTAAACGTATTTCATACTTCTGTGCCATTTATTTTATTTTTTGCTATGAAGAATATATACAAGTCAATTGTGTGACATTTAACCAGAGATATTTTGTATTCAGTCAAGCCATACTTCCTTCATTCATTGATGAAAATGTAAGTCAGGGATCATTTTTTGGGGTCCTTTGTTGTGTTGCTAGTTTTTCTGATGTCTTAAGCTAAAAATTTTTTTGTCTGTCCAAAATAAAATTAAAAACCATCACAACAGAAATGCTGCCACCATGCATTCCTGGTGCTTTAATTAAGTAAACCTAACAATATCCTTAATTCATGCCTTAGACAACAAACAAGTACTCAATTGATATGATGGTAATATTCCTTCCCGTTCAAGTAATTGATGGAATTTAATAATGCAGCATTTAATCCTTTTATTTTATATATACTGATGCGTTGTGTAGATCTTTTTTTACAATATTCTTCTTCAACTTTTAAAATTTGCAATGAGATTATGTTTGTGTTGATTTATTTTTTTTAAATTGATATATAATACGTGCATGTTTTTGTTCATTTTATTTAGTTAAATACCTATGCAACTAGACTTGGCTGTGAAGGAATGCACAATGTTTAGTTAAAAATATTGAAATAATTAATTTCAATTAAAAGAAGTCCAAAAGTTTTGGTTGAATTAGAGGGTGTGTTCATTAATTAAAATTTCCAATTTTGTTTTATTTTACAAAGGGAAAAAAAAAGATGTAATCTTTTTGGATTACTACAATATTTGACATTTGTGTGCCTTGGTCAGTGGTAGACTTCTGCTGTCCCTACCTTTAATCTTAATTCGACCTAAATTAAGGCATGGTTGCCAAACCCCACCTCAAGGTTCCTTGCAAACAAATAAATCCATCAAGTGCACTGGTTGTTTTAAAATAATACAATACACATCTTTTCAGGTGACATTTGATTCTCACCTTATATAGTAATAAGCATTTTTTTTTAACCTGGCTAGAATAAATGTTTTAGAAGTTCTGATCTGTACACTCATGTGGTTATTCTAAATACAACCATAGAGACATGAACAGTTGTATAAAAAAAGAAGAAACAATCCAGATGAAATAACTAACCAACACTTTATTTTTTTAATTGATGTAAATGTAGACAAGTTTGAAATCACCAGCACAGGAGAGGAGCGAAAATCTCAAACCCAACTTTGTATAATCTACGGATTAAAAAATAACCAAGGAAACTCCATCCCTCTTGGCATTAATCAATTAAGAACTTTGACAAAAGCAAGTAAGTGACAAGTCATAGTGTGCTTTTTGATTAGGTAGGAATTTTTTGCAACATGTGCAGACAACACAAAAAAGACCCAATTGTCAATGGCACTAACAAGTTTATTATTAAGGCTTTCTGAAAATTTCTAAAAGAATTTCATTTTTGTATATCTCCTAAAAAAACAAAAAAACAGACATTTTTTTTTCCATAAAAGATAAAATAAAAATAATTCAAGATAAATTTTGAAACAAATTTAATTCAAAATTGCCTTCTTTCACCTGAACATTCAATTACTGAAATCACTCTGGTGTTATTAATACGAGCTTCTCTGTTATATTATAACAATATAACCACAGCGATTAGTATGATCAGAGATAAATTTTGTATGACTCCCTTTAAAAATCTGTATTATCTTTTAATTAGGATTCTTTTAAACAAAAAAATCTCTAACATTGATCAGCTTCTTTTAAAATGATATAAGCAATAATTGTTTAACAGAATGGTATATATGTTATTGGTGAATATTTTGATAACAATTTTTAGCTTAAATGCACAACTTATAGATACAAGATTAATTATCTATTGAAACAGTAACAGCATGCCATTAAAACTGAGACCAACTATCCTAGGTGTACAAAATAATTAACTTAAGTTATTGAGCCTAAATATTTTTGAACCCATGAAGAATAATAATGAGCATTAAGTTTAATTATAAATTAGTTCCAATGCTCCTTATCCTAACTTAAAATCTAGTGAATATTACTTTCATGTTTTGTTCTTTAAGCTCAAAAACATGTTCACAGTCACAACCACCGTTTCCTAAACTTAAGGAACAAGAAACACTTGGAGATTATCTTTTCCTTAGTTTAAATCATTAAGTTGAACCACATGAAGATATCAGAAAACTGAACATCATTCCTCTCAGTATCTCATGGTATTCATATTAGTGATAAAATGTGAATAATATTTAGCAAGTTTATTGACAAAATGCAGAAAAGGACATAATTTTCTACAGTGGTGTTGTTGATTAAAATCGATCTTCTGTCATAAAAAAAAAAAAACAACAACTTATCGTACATATAATAAACTTTTAGAAAATGAAACTTGGATCATTAAAAAGTCTTAAACGTTTTTTAAATAGAGCTAGCTAAATATAGTTTTACTCGACCGGTGTTTAGAAAAAAATGTACAAAATTAATGATTCAGCATTATATATTATATTCTTGGTTAATGGGTCTTTTATTTTAAAAAAAATGTTTTAGCATATTGCATCAAAAACTAAAAATTTCTACCATACTCTAAACAAAAAAAATTAAAAATAAGGAAATTAAAATGCAGCTTTAGATTTGGCAAGTTTGTTGATACCACAGTATTAACTTTAAAAATTGAGTCATTCACATAGAACAAGAGGATAAAACATTTTATCTATTGAAAGTAAAATGAAAGTCTCAATACCATAAAAAGTATGTGGCAGATAACACAATTTAGCTGTAAAAAAAAATTACTTTTATGAAATCGTTACAAAATTTAAAGTAATTTTATGTCGAGGTTAAGAAAACTATAATTCACCCCATTTCAGCAATCCTTTACAGCAAAAACAGTAAAGCGAAAATAAATAAAACTCGTAAATTGGTGTAGACACAAAGCATGCAAATCAAGTTACAAGTCAGTTAACATAAACATCAATATAAACTCAAGTATTTTAAAAAAAACAAGACCGCTACTGAAGTATGTGTACATAAAAACATAAGCTTGAGACAAAATAAAGAAGCAATTTGCACAAAGTTACAAAAATCTGGACAGGTACAAGGATGCAAATCCGTAAAATTAAAGGCTGCTATCAACAGTAGTGTAGGTTTACAACTTTAAAAAGAAACATGGAGCTAAATTGTCCCCTTGTCTAAAATCAGCCACGTTGAAAAAATTCATACACTCACAAATAAGCACTATTTTGTGGTTTATACAGAAACTGGTTAGTGTAGAAATATTATGTAAATAATTGTATGTACATACACATAGACAACTTATGAACAAGTAGCTTATAACTGGTATATTACATAATGCAAAGATTAAAAGAAGACTTGCACATTTGTTTGTTTTTAAAGAAAAAGCTCTAGCACCATTATGACTCTGCTATTCATTATTGGAATATATTAATAGCATTTATTAGTTCATGGCAACACATTCTTGTTTTAATACACATTCTTTGCCAGCAAGAAGGAGATATCTACTTTCTTTATAGTACATCAGATTTCCTTCCACTCCCAAGATATAATTTAACCTTTGTACATACAGTAAATAGAAAAATGGTTAATTTTTTTATTTAAAAAAAGGTAAGTTGAACATTTTTCCACAACTTGAACAATTAAAAGAAAAACAACAAATTAATTGATTAAAACTTATTAATACTAAAAAAAAAGCTTGAGTGATATGAGTGGTAATAATATACAGACCATTGGTGTAAAGTTGAATCTAACTTATTACATGTAAAAGAAAGAAAGGAAAAATTACAAGATATGTCTCAGCAATATTCTTTAGCCTCTAAACCAAAATCTCAAACATTCCACACCAAATAACAAGCTATTTGAAATTTCTTCAACAGTTTCCTTAGGGCAAAGTCAATCCACTAGCAACCTTTAACCACAAAGAACATTTCTAATGACATACAAGTCATCCACCTTTTATTGACAAAGACATGCCATTCATCAACATCACAATACTTGTACATGGACAGCTGATATAATGAATAAATAATGTCATTGATCTATAAACCAACCAGTGCAATTTGCAAACAACACAACAGTAATATACAAGTAAATTTGATGGAATTAAAATTCCTTTCAATCGTTCTTAATAGAAATGTGTTCTTTATAAATTGAAGGTTCACTTACTTTTTTTCCACATCAATTCAATATTTTATAAAATAGAATGCCTCCAGTTTAAAAAAATTGCCTCACTATATAAACAAATATAAATAAATTTGTTCCTACATTATGTTAATTATTTATAAAATTAAGTTGGCCTATCTGTATGGCTAAGTTAATCAAAAGTGGAAGTGTTTGTGACAAAGAATTGAGGAAATTAATGGATATCAACAAGTAATGGACATCAAAGGTGATCAAAAAGGCACATGTTATTGATTTGCTAGGGAAAACAAAAAAGTTATTGGATAGTTGTTAAAAACAATGAATAGGCATGTTGAAAAAGAAAAAAATA